CAGTTAGCGAGCATTCAGAAGTTCTCTTGACTACTGAGCCATACAATCTGCACACCTCAAAGACACCTTTCCTATGGAACAGCGGGGGGCTGCTCGCTTTACAGTTTGTAAGTTCTTCACTGAGTGTTGTGTAGAAGTTTGCAGGCTTATTACTCAAGGGGGGGTCTTCAATGTTTTCCTCGCATGTCCCATGGGTGTCTTTTCCAGCTGTAATGAGGCCTCCTGGACCAGAAAGCTCTCTTTAAAACAGGGAGTAATGAGTCCTTGTTGGCAGAGAGAATGGGGATTTGCACTACTCAGTGGAAAGGGAAGGTCACCCAGAGGAGTTTTATTTTGGGAAACTGTCTTCTTTCTGAACCAAACAAAGCTTAAAGGGAAACACTACAAAGTCCCCGTCCAGGAATTGACTATCTCGGTCTAAAAGGCAATCCAACACCTTCCAAGTTTTAACATACACCTGACAGTTTATGTCATGAATCCTCAACCTGAAAGCAAGAATTGTTAATGCTGGAAAAAGTCGTTTTGTATAGGAATTTTATCAAAGTGCATATTTTTTTGAACTACATACACTCACCTTACAGAATTAACATATTTTAAGCATCCAGCTAATCAAACTCAAGGGTAAAAGCTGTGAAACAGAAACATTTCACTCATTTCAAAATAAGATTAATTCAGTATTTAGCTTTTCGAGGCCATTAAATAGAAAGAGCTTTTACAAATAAGCATGAATACAATGATATTTAAAGCTAAATGGGAATATTTGCCTTTTTAAGAGATAATTCTTAAGCTTTTTTTTCCTTTGCATATGTCTGTTTGTTTTTCTTTCCTATCTCTCCAAGGCTATGCACACTAAGACAAGCTACAATTATCAGCTGTCAAGGATTCAACCTATCGCACGGACAACAATCCATGCTAACTTTAACCTGAAAATGGCTTCTCACCCTACATCGACCTACAGTAGGGACAATTGAGCACAGCACCACCTGCTAACCTGAGGTTGGGCGAAGAGGCCAGACGGCACTTTGTGACTGCACAGCGTCACCCCTCCTGCTCTCATAATAGCAAGTTGCACTGCCTGCTGCCATAACACATCCAGGCATAATTGTCCCTGACAAGAGGGCAAATCATCAACACAGGCCTGATAAGCATTTCAGCCAGATGACAGCGTACAGAAGTGTATTAGCAACAGTGTGACATATCACATTACCAATGTGAATATAATAAAGGAGATACTAAACACTGTGGTAGCTCCACCGACCATCCATTTCTCAATTTTTCAGCCGGGCCTCATTTGCGACAGCTAATTTGCTTTATATTAAACAAAGTAAACAGGTATGATAACATGGCGATGGAGCAGATATGGCTTGATTATGGGGCGGAGTTTAAAGTATTTTTAATGACACAAGCTCCCTATGACAGGACTGTGGTTAACATCATAAAACTGGTGCTTAAAAGTACTTATCATAAACCATTTTACGATGTTTTAAAAGTCACTGTTTGTGTAAATGGCCCAGGGTTTGATAGCACATGGTGAATTTGCAAATAAGCTGCGCAGGGTGAAAAGTTTTAATGACTTCTGCTTGAGGACTTCTTTTCCTGATTGGAGCTTTTATGACAGGCTTAGGAGGCTGATTTCGGACATGAAAGCAGTGGAAAATCCATTTCCCTTAATTGTTTTACCACTTGTATTAAAGGCAGTGCCATGTGTAACAGGAGCCTTCAGATACTGGGACAGGTCTTGAACCTGATAACTTGTACATGTTTTATAGCTGTTACATTATAAATTATTTCCACAGACGGAGGCCTTCAGGGATCATATTCTCTCAGCTTCAGTTACTGGTAACATCTTTTAATGATATTAACAAATTTGCAGCTCTAGTGTTTCAGCTCTATCTGGGAAATCTTAAACGGCTCCATGGTAAATACTTGGTTATGATATTATCAGGCACAGCCCATTGTGTGTCGGGTGGATCATATGGCTATTAAAAATGGGCCAGCAGAGGTAATAACTAGCTCATAAAGGCCTGTGCTGCTGCCTGACAGCTTGTCTGCATTTCCTGTTGTAACAGTGAGATACTGGCTGGAAAAGCGGAAAAAAACAACCAGTTTAATGGTTGCAAAAGCCACTTTTTACAGTTTATTTTCATGGCTCTACGGTGCTTTGTTAAACCTCCCATTAACCTCGTTTTTAACTTCTACTGCCATGTTTGATACAGAGTTGTATTTCTGCTCAGCTTCAATAGTGCCATTACTAATGAGGCCCTCTGAAAAGTGCGCGCTCAAATAAATGTGTTTTGGGGTTCACACTCTTGCAGCCTTTTGTAACGTTCAATTAGCCTCATACTGTTTGTACATATGGATTCCTTTGGCAAATTGAGTCCATTTACTATTGGCTGTGCGTTTACCTTGCCTTGACTTCTCATTAGTTCCATGTGGGCTATAATGTTTCCAGAACAGTTGCCAATAAAATGAGGTGTTACTATCGGAGGATAAACAATACAATACAACATGGCATTTATTCAAGCATATGATTACAAATCATGCTGTTAAACTCATGCAAAGTATGTTCTTTCATAGGGCAGTAAATCCGAGCTTTGGCCTTATCCAAATATTTCCATTTGTCATTTGGAGAGTGGAAGGCAAAACTGGAAGGAAAGAAAAACTGGAGAAAGTCTTTTAAAATTTTGATTTATTTGAGTTTTCGTGCCCCTGTAATCCAAAGAAAGCATAAAATTAGTTCATCCCATCTTCCTTATATCTAAAGCTGATGCATGTAATAATCAGTTGCTGGAGAACGTCCTAAAGAGCCATAACAAACTTACTCCAGCGCTGCAGCTGCATAAGACATGACAACTTTTAATCCCAGCATGGAACTATGCCAAAGCCCATTTTATCCCAAAGACAGGGAGAGGGATTTGCTTCCACTAATGGAGTTCAAAGGTTGCAGCATGTCGGATAAGAAGTCATGGGAAGTGAGTGACAGCGCTAGGTATGGAGTAGTGAAGGCTATGTACATTGCTATGTGAGAGCTTGTGTGTTGTTTAAAAGGACTTTAGCTTCATCACTCGTTAGACACTGTCACTGCGCCTTTCCTGCAGTTCTGACTTTTAATAGTCTATCCATGGAGGATGTGGAAACGGTGCTCTAAAGCTGCTCAGAATCCAAGTTAGAGGGGCACCGGCTGCATCTGAGCAGACAGCTATTTATGGGAGATGACAGTTTGCAAATATCTCAATCTGGGGAAAGGCTCTCGGGGTGACGATGAGGAGTGCCGTGAAATTGGAGGAGTCAGCAGCCAGCATTTATTTCATCAGGCTTTTTCCAGTGAGGTGCGATTGCCTGACAGCATGGGGTTATTGGTGGAAACATTGAAACACCCACAAACCAATTCTGCATAAATGTGTGCTTCTAATGAAAATGTTCTCCAGAAAGAGAAAAGAATGGTGGGGAATAAGATGATAAGAAACTTTTGCGTAAAATGAGATTGCTGTGGTGTCAGTGATACAGGAAATTATAGCCTCATCCCACCTAAAAAATTAACTTCTGTAGCTTCTGAATTATTTGTCCAATCAAAAAATGTGCAGGGTTACAATTTTAATTTATATCCTTACGTCATTGTCACTGATCTGGACATAACAGGCCTGCTCTCTCACTGTTTTATTGTCCGCTGTTTTATACTGGACAAGTTGGTCAGAAATTATGAACATATACTGTTAAAAAATAACATATTTTTGGGCCAAATTTACAATCATTTAGCTTAGGCAGAAATAAGGTTGGGAATGAATTGGTGTTGGTCAGCAGCAAAGGGAGCAAAGAGCTTTAGTTCTAAAGAAAGAAAGAAATACTGGGAAAATTAAGAAAGTTGTGTATTAATTCATTATTCTATATACATTCAAATCTAATACATAAAGTTATTTTAGCTAATAACATTTTGAAAAGAAGGAAGAGACTGTTTTAGATTTGACATGCTGTCACTGGGGAAAGAAATTTGTGTTTTCTAGCTAGAAATGACAACATTGACATTTGTCTTTAGAGGGTCGATGCCTATATGATGCAGACTTTGTCAAAAAGGCCATTAATTTTCTGCATTTATCAGTCTTTCTCCTCTCAGAACTAAGTATAGACCCAGGCTCCTGTTATCAAATCACAAAAAGCTCCCGTAAAAGGTCCGTTGTTCTTCTGAAAGTTGTGGGCTATCAAAAAGTACCCCAACTTTTTCACTGGGTTATTCGTCCAAAAGTGAAATTGTTCCCTAGGGCATACCCTGAAAAAGTTAAGCATCTTAATACAAGAGTTTTTATACCCACAGACTCATATACTGAGGTTGGACATTTTACGACTTACTGAAATTGAGGAGCTGCTGCTGAATGGGGTGTGGCCCTGAGCATTACTGTCCATAGGACACGCCTCCTGGTATGTGATTATTGCCAGACACCACTCCATTGGAGAACTGAAACTTCCAGGCTGAATTACATGGTATAGTACATTTACCATTTATTGTTAGCTAACCATTGACTTACAGTAAACGTCTTTTTTCTACTTCAACATATTTGATACATAATTCTGACATTATCTTACCGAAGACTCTTATGGAAGTGGTGCAGACCTACCTCTGGTTGGGTCGTGTTTAAAACAAACACACGTGTTTGTACACTATTTGTACTACTGGTATCTTGCTGATATGTTTGTTATTATTATGACTTTCCCACAGAGTAGAATCTGTTTTCAAATTGTCACTGCAATAATACTTGACATGTGTTGTCTTGTTGTATTGTGTGCAGCCATCAGGATTAAGTGTATAAAAAAACATCCTTACATGACTGTGTTTGGACAAGCTAACATTTGAAATTCTAGGCGATATTTTATGAGAACCATCACTTTGACCACTAAATGGCCTCTGTGGGTACTCGGCACACATTCATCTTGACCACACTAACCTTATTCTACCCTCTAACAGCGCTCACATGAGCCCTATGTTTCAGATCAAAGCTGTGTCACATCTCATAGCTGCAGCGAGACACTGGATCAGAGCCGACAAGGAACCCGTTTGCCAGCAGGTACGTGCAGTTAAGTATTACAGCTGAATAAATAGTACTAGACAAACTGGGACAATAATTTCACGAGGAAGTCAGTAATTCAAGCTAAAAATAAAGAGGTAGAGAAGGTCATTTTGAACACCTATGGTTTCAAATACAGCTATTTGCTGTTTTTGGCTGTACTCAAACAAAATTCTTTAAAGTAAATATAAAGAAAAAGACATCTTCAAAAAGTAATTGTGTTAAGTGTAGGCATATGTTAAATCACATGTCTAAACTATGCAATTGTCATTTCAGTCAACTCTGACCTGTAAATGAAGCCTGGAACCAACTGATTTCATCAGTAACAGCTGCATTTTTACATGACGTCTAAAACACTCACATTCCTCAGAGGCTCATATTTCTGTCCACTTCACAAGTCAAGACCTTTCTCGCTACTTCAAGTCTTACTTGGTTTTATGTTAACCTGGGTTTTATTGAGCCTGGCAGTGTGTCTGAGGCAGGACTTTTAGACATCTGATGTCGTGGTGGGGTAAAACAATCTGGGTAGAAGACTTTCAGTTGTGATTACACAGAAGACAATGTCTCCACCGAATGGAAGTAAAGTCAGGACTTTGAATGAAATCTATTAAATGTATGCCATTTGTAAGGCTCACAACCTCACAAGCTTTGAGCTTTATCTATAGTATATATTCACAGCCCTTACTAAACTGTATGAGTTGCTGGGGTGCAGATTCAGCTCAAATGAATGTTGGTTCAAGCAACAAAAAAGGGAAAGGTGGGAAAATCACTTACCATACTCCAAAATCAAGCAGGTTTACATCTGTTAGCCCAAACATCAAAATTTAAGCAAAGATAAACTCTAAAAATGAAGTGAAGGAAGGTAGCTCTCAATTTTGCAAACATACTTTCAATTTAAGATTTTTTTCCGACCAATTATTCAGTGTTAGAAAATTGTAGGTGATGCACAAATAATGCACGTAAACAAATTTTCCCCAAATCAAATCCAAAGCAAACCATTACATCTGATGTATTCATGTCAGACACTGTGTAAAGTAAGGTCAATCAAGTAGCGCTGTACATAGACAGTAGAAGAAGAGCTGATGTAAAACACGGCGTTTAGGGGAGGCTGTTTGTGAGGTGATACTTTTTAATTGCCTCAGACAAATTTGTTTGGAGACGAACGTCACATTCAGAACATTAAAGTGGATTTCAGCGGATGAGCACGTAAAAGGCGTGTCCTTGGGGAGCAGTGTGATGTGCTGGTAATGAGTGGAGGTAATGAAAGACTTCACATAGACAGATGTATCCATTTAAAATAGTAATAACTACAGTTAAGATGGCAAAGAGCAAATTACACACAACTTTCACTGAGGCAAATGTTTATACAGACTCTGCAGGGACCTGCCATTTTTTTTACTGAGTCCCAGGGAAGTTAAGGGAGCTCCTGACGACTCTCATTGCCCCTCAAACAAGGTCGAAACTGTGATAGAAACAGCATGACAAGTGCTGCTGGGTACTGTACCTCTGAGACCATGCAGGCTTGGCTCCATGCTTTATGCACTACACAGCCATTGTTGTGTGCGCTGAATGTGTGTTAGCTAAAGATACGCTTTTATTTTCAATGATGTATTGTTTATTTAAGTCCTCTATTTGCATGATTAAATCCAGCTTCAACACCAACAGGAAAAAGTCATAGTTCCTACGTTTAATTACGACGGAAGCCTTTTGCGTCATGCGACAAGATTAGAGGTTAGTCCTGCTTGCAGCTCAGTCTGCAGGCAGAGCATGTGTGACCTACAAAGGGATGCGTGTCCATCCATATGGATGCTCTATCTGCGCGCTGACAAGGTAAATGACACTTTATAGAGCTGTGTCACTCATCGCGCTGCATGTGTTTGCCAATGAAGTGTAGGTTAGGCCCAAAGCCTTCACCTCTCGTCTGTTGTTTCAGGTCCAGCCTGCCAGTGAATCACTAAAGGTCAATAGACTCAAATGACGGAGCTGAGCACTTCTTCATTCTGCTCTGATAGAGAGCACAGTGCAAGTTAAAGAGCTGAGTGTTGTTTGACAGCAGTGCACACCTTACCTGAGCAGTCATTTTGTGCTATGTAATTCCCCAGGCATTGTGTCACAGAGATGCCTGTGTGGACTCGCAGGCCTTTGTTGTGGAGTCACATAAAATGATGGATAGTACATGAGTGAATGAAGATGAACCTCTCTGCACTATGTGTGTTTTTGCTGCCTCCTCCTCATGTTCTCCTGGAGGCCATTTATCCTGATTTAGACTCGAGTGGGAACATCAGTACTTCCCCTTTGTGCCGGACAGAGACTGATACTCAGCGTCATAAAGCCTTAGCAGCTTTTCGCTACAAATTCTGAGGTGGAAATCTCTGAGGAATGGTGTTTGTCTAAAACTTTGAAGAATAGAGTGGTATACGCCTGTGTAGAGAAAGAAAGCGCGAGGGAAGAGGAAGAGGGAGAAACTGAGGACATGAGTGTCTTTGCCTCTCGCAGTCAGCATGCACAGAGCTCGCCCGCCATGTGCCAAAGCCGTGCTTCCCACGCAGCTAATGGTGGGGATGTGGAAATGAGAGGCTGGCCGGGGCGATGGAGGCAGGGGATGTGTTAATTGAAAGTTAGGATCACTTTGTGGCCATTACGAGGAAACCTGAGACGTGTTAACGCAACAGAGTTAGGCAGCACCTGCTGTCACCAGCTAATTGTGTTGGGTTTGGTCATGTCTGTCAGGAGCGGGTTCCCATCACGCTCTGCCTCTAGTTACAGCTGTATTACTGCCAGAGTTGACATTACAGCAGCAGCCACAGGGGAGCCAGAGCCAACCTGCGACCTCGCCACCGCGACTCAGTCTGATGGATCCTCAAAAGCCGATATGAATCCCAGCCATGTCATTATTTCGCCATTTGTGGGTTTTCTTAGATTTTAATTGCAATAAATTAGACACCAGTCAAATTTTGTGAGCAGTATGTCCTTTTTAGCTCATTATATTTTGGATTAGTGTCTTTAATCCCAGAATGGTGTATTGACTGACTGAATAAGCCTCTGCTAGGCGAAGAAAAAGCGAGCAGTGTGTTTCTAATTCATCCTTACTTACATATGCATCAGTCACAAACCAGGGTGCTGTGCAGATGACTCACTGAGGAGGCATACTGTGCTTTTGAGGACCTGCTAGGGGCAGCAATGTATAATCTGATTTAGACTAGAGCAACCTCCTATTTATTTTTAATTGTCCCACTTTAGCATTTAAGAGCTATTGATCCCCGGAAAAGCATTAAGTGACAGAAACACTATTACTGTTAGTGCTCCCTGCTTGGGGAAGGCACATCAAAGGACATTTTAATGTCACTGACTTTCTGAGGGAATTTGAAGCCGGGTTTTGAACAGGCCAGCCTATGAACGCAAAGGACACACAATAGACAAACGCAGAAACAAATGTGAGGGCAATTTACAGCTAATCAAAGAATAGCTAGGAATTGATTTTCTTTTTTTTTTTTTTCTGGGTGAATGTTTGTGGAGCAAGATTTTTTATAAAACAGCAACATTTAAAAGTCATGTTAGGCTCTTGTTCAGTCCAAAACCCTGATCGTTGCAATTTATTATTTATAGAGAAAAACAAGGAGAGATTAGAGGGCTCGCAGGAAAACTCTGCATCTATCACGCTGAATCTATTCATGAAGATTTTCCACATTATGCTCACGCCCGGTGCCTTATTTGTCCGGTATTTGTCTGTGGATATCACACCTGTAATCTACGTAGGGCTCTCTGTTGAACAGTCGCCTCGCATTGACTCGGCTCTCAAAATACGTCCCTTTCAAGTCAGACCTCCCCCTTCTTCTGCCACCATCCCCAGATGTTTTGATTAGCAGCAACTCGTATGCTGGTCAGATCCCGGGATTAATGATGGATAATTTGCCTAAGGTTGGCACAGCACACCGCCACGCTGCCAGCCTTTGGATGCCATATGGGCAGAAGCAGCTGTTTTCATTACTCTCCCTTGCCCAGATGTGTCAAACAGGATGCCGACTTCAATCCGCAGTCTTGCTGGCACTTGGTGGGGGGTGCTTTCTACTAGCTTGGCAGCTAATTACTTTAATGTAGCTGGGTATGGAGGCCCTGCGTGTTTTTTAAAGGCCTTTTACAAACAGCTGAATGCCAGCTGTCACCTCTGTGCACAATGAGGGAAGATGGATAGGTAGTCGCTGCGAGTCTGATGAGGTTGGCTCTGGGCACAGACCCAGCCCAGACCAGGGGCAGGGTTAGCCTCTGCTCACGAACAATGAGAAGGTCATCCCAAATACATGCTGGCGAGCCACGTGTTCACAGCACCGCAGTGACACCTCTCACTTTGCTAAATTCTGCACTTTCAGAACCGACCTTGCCCGTGTTGACCATGTGGCAGCGTTGCCCCCTCTCTCTCTCTCTCTCTCTCTCTCACTCACTCTCCACCCAAAAACACCACTACTCTTGCAAGGCTTGTTCAATGAAACCAATGTGAATGTGGTAATCTGAGCCACAGAGGTACAGTGCCAAGTCACAGCAAAGACCACACACAGGATAAGCTGGCACAGGAGCAAAAGAACGGCAAGTGAAAACAGAAAGGAGGATGCTGCCAGAATGTCAGCTGGGTCTTTACATGAGATTGCACACAGCACAGAACATGTGTTCAACGTGTCCCATTTCCTGCTGAGCCGCTCTGTTTTATTGTTCGGTGATAAATCCTGAGATTTGTCCCAACTGCCACATTTCTCATTGTTCAGACAACTACGCCGCTGCAGTCTTCAAACCGTGTATAATGTGCTTTAAAGTGATTGACATCAGTCAGATAAAACCTCCCCTTTTATTCCGGGACATTGACACATGCCAAACAGCCTGAATAATACAAATAATAGCACGGCGCATTCAGTCAATTCCATCATTACGGCAGCACAGGGCATCAATAAGTTTTCATTATGTTGAGATGCCATGTCTATAATATCACTTAAACAGTGCCCAGCAGCAAGAGAGGAGTGCTGACACGCTGAAAGGGTCAACAGCAGCTGTCTGTGGCTTTGATATTTCCATCAATAAGGCTTCATGTTTCCACACCTGTATGTCCTCTCTCCTGTAATGATCAACAAGGGGTTGCTAGCAGTCAATACACTATGATAGTTTCTACCTAGGGCAGGGGATGATGAAAGCATTGTCTTCATGCTGTGCCTCCAGTCATCAAGGTGCCGTAACGCGTCCAATGACCGGCTTCTTTTGAACCGTGTTGAGTTTTTCCCTCGTAGGTCGCCAGATAAAGGTTGAATTCAAATGTTAGGAATTTTTAAGCGCTGCTCGTCTTATTGACAGGCTTCAGAACGGGAGCGATGTGGGAACAGAATAAACACTCCCTCGCAGCCCGATTCCAACAAAGTCACAAGGGTGTTGTTTTTGTTGCTGTTGTTTTTGTAAAGTATTGATCTTAATGTTGTGCTTCATGTTTCAGTCTCTGTTGGGGGAGCCATGAGTAAAGAGAGCGTTTAGTAAATCAAAAGATGTTCTTTTAAGCAAGGGTACCACTCACTTTCTTCTCCTTCCCTCTTTCTTTGTATTTTGAGTGACATTTTGTTCAAATTACTGACTGCGCCTTAGGGGAGGTGATGCTGAACCTTAAACTGTTAGCATTGTAAATACAAGTGCTGCCTCATTTCCTCCATGTAGTTCATAATTCAAAGTGGTGTTTGTTCACCGCAGCTCCAACACTTTCTCCGTGTAGTGCGCATCCCCTTCACAGCACTTTTATAGTCATGCTCACTTTTGGGCCTTAGCCTCTACTCCCATAGGAGCCTATTATCCTTCTTAACATATGCAAAAGCTTGCTGGATTGTGCATCATACTCACTTAGGGACTTGACACACTCGTGTTATGAGGCTGGTACTTGTGTGCGGGCTGCTCAGCATTATTGCAGGGTTGCTTCTCATTTGGAAAGCTCTCCTCACTCTGAGGGCTTTCACAAAGAAAGTCATTATAAGTTTGGAGCAGACATGAAGGGTCGTGAAACAGACGGAAGACATTAATATATGTTGGTAGGAGTTTGGAAATCACGAAAACCTCCACAGTCTGGTCGCAAGCTGCGAGACCAGATAGGTCTTTAAGTCCAAGTTTGTCCTTTCTTAAGCGTATATGTAGAATAAATAACCTTGTTCTCTCTTTCTGGTGCTAAAAACACACTTTTGGTCTTTAATTCACCTACAGACCATCACATTTTTTATCCACGAGAAGTATGTTATAAATATTTTTAATTAGATTCGAGGACACAGAAAAACTAGCAGTTTTTCTCATCATCACGTCTGTTCAGAAAGCGCACACTCAATAGAGATGGGGGCACCTCAGCAACGCTTTGATTTCAGCTATGAAATTTTAATTTGAAAAAAGAAAGGAGGGAACATATTGCGCTCATTCAAATCTAACTTTGTTCCCTCAAACTGGAAGATTGGATTTTCTTAATTAAATTATCCCCCTTGTTCACATACTCAAGGGGGCCATTGGCTCAAGGCAGTGAGAAAAATGTGTCTGGGTTTTTGGATGCTCGGCTGGCATAATGCTGGTTTGTGAAGAGAATGAAATGTTTTGTTCTGCTTAGACTCCTTTTTTCCATTCCATTTGGACTCCTTTTTTCTAACTGGCCGTCCCTGCTTTCTTCTGTGCTCCTCTGTGTTGTGCCAGCATCAGCCCTGAGCCTCTCACCGAGAGAACGCTTTGATGTGTCCCCACTGTGCCGCCGCCCCCCTGTGCCCTGATTGGTGGATAGCAGGCGGGGCTGGCGGGGCAATGTGGGAGTGGATGGGGGATGAAAGCGAGCAGGGCAGCGAGGGGGCACCTGCACACAGAGCCTTGCCTGTGTGTCTGCTTCATCTTCAACTGCTTCCCTTGACCGCAGGCTGAACTCCTGTGTCAGCGACCATCACACGGTCGCTGTGACCTCCCTCCCTCTCTCTCTTCCCCTCTTTCTCTCTCTCTCGCTCTCTCTCTCCCTGTCCCTCAATTTATTCCCTCTCTCTCTCCCTACACATCCTTCTCTTTTCTTTCACTCCCTTTTGTCTGCCTCTCAATAAATGTGTTATGAGAGAGTAGCAGATGACAGGTGAATCTCTCTGTGTGTGGAGTATTAAGCAGAATGTGAATCTAATGAAACTCCTGCGTTATTCAGGCAGATTTACAAAAGCACCGAGATAAATTCTCATCTCAGGAAGCATAAGGTATAACTTAAATACATACTGAAGAGTTTTATAAACCCGACCAAAATACAGATTTTAAATTTCCAGCGAACAATATCTGACTTCATCTGTCAACTTCAAATCTCCTGTGAAAATTTGATTAACCATAAAACACTGCATTTTGTCACTCCTGTAATACCATTTAGAGCTACCAGAGGGTCAAAAGTGACCCGCCCACCCCCTTCTTTTAGTTTTATTGAGATGCCTCAGCAATAAGAGTACTGTTTCAGCACAGCTGTATGCCAGGGCAGACCAGTCTGCAACAAAGACTGCCTCTGTGCCATCACATTTTTAGACTTTGCTGGGTCCAGGAAAATAAAGGGGGGAGTTTGGTTTGTGGCCGTTTTACGGTTAGCTCATGTTACCGACATAACAGATTTACTTTTGTTTGTTTTTTATGTGGTCACGGTGCTCAGATTAAGATCAGAATTTGAATGGTAGTAGTTTCCTCTCAAACCTGAACGTGATTAAAACAGTTTTTAAATCAAGATTGAAACTTGTGACATGTAGGGAAAATACCGCACCCATCATTTTAATATAAAATCCTCTGACTATGCCCCTGATTTTCTCTGTGTTACTTCATGTGGTTTTAATCAAAAGAGACACATAGAAGTATCAGTGATTAGCATCTGTTTAAAGCACCACCTATGACCCTAAAATATGAAGCCTTAACAACACTCACTTCACCTCCTGTGGTAATTGAGCTCTGACCCTTGTGTATGTGTTTGCATTTAAAAAATTGTGCGTGTATTTCTAAGAAGAAAGGTGTTAATTTCTACTTGCTGCGTTTTGTTTTCTTCCTTTGCACAGCTGTGACTCCACTCCTCCGTGCTGCTCTCAGGAAACACTCAATGATTAAGATCGGTCTGCTTTTTAGAGCTTTTTGGTGTACAGAGATCTTAGCTGACCCTGCGTAAATGCAGTTGTTGCAGAGGTGACCTGCTTGTAAATGAGGGTCACGGTTCAGGTGCTAAAGGTCACAGGAGCCGGCCTTCTCTGTGCGTGAGGGCACCTTAGTGGCTGCCACCACTGTGACCTCCAAATGCTGAACGTGCATTTGATTGTGTTAGGGCCAATAAGGTATGGAGCTCCCAGGCAGCAGAGAGGTCACCTCTGGGCCCATTGAGATGTGAAAGGTGACAGGCAGCAGGATCTAAGCCAATAGAACTCAAAGAGCATCTGTCAGATGTCTTGGACAGGAGTGTTTGCTCAGCAATCAGACTTCTTTCTTTGAAAGAGACACAAGTGCTCCGTGGATGGAAAGGTGTTCTTCAATGCTATTCGATACTGTATAATGGTAGGAAGACTGTTTATTTAAGTACTATTTTCAGTAAAAAGCATTTAAAAGTAACATATCCTTAAATTACCATTTATGCACCTTGTTTTACTCACCTACATGTTTGACGGAAACTCAGAGGAATTGTTAAAGAAGTGTAAAAGACTTTCAAAGCTGCCTGTGCTTGAGAATTTCAGAGCAAAGCATCACAACGCACAGCACTTAGGCCAAATCCCAAAGGCCGTGACTGGCGCAGCGTGTCCCACATTAGCTCAACCACAGCTCACTGAAATGGACTCGCCTGAGTGGAATGAAACCCATAAGGCACCATGCACACCACGCCGGCGGCTTTATCAGACAAAGATCAATGGACGGCAGCATTCACTCGGAGCACCCAAGCTGCAAGGACAAATACAGTATCTTGGGGGGTTGTGAGAGTCATTGATAGGCTTAGGCTGTGTATGTGTACGTCTCGCCTCCTTTAATCAGGTTTCCCAATAGCAAACACTGGGCGTCAAGTGATGCGTTTCAGGCAGCGAGGCCTTTCAGGCAGGACAAAAGGTGGGAGAAGCTGTGGGACTCAGGGCCCGGCCCTCTTCTTGGCTGAATGTCTCGCAGTTTTCCAGTGGAGCTCAAAAGGCCTTTGCCCTTCCAGCTGTAAAATTGGCAGACGGGGAGCCTTGAAAATCCCCCACTAACTGTGAGTCCACACAAAACTGCAGCGTTTACTCTGAAGGAGCTAACCAGGCTTAAACACGGCCCACATCAGACGGTGGTAGAGACTCAAAACAGCATATTTTCCAGAGTGTTATTGAGGCTAAGAATAAAGTTTGTATTAACATATATATACAGATTTGTTTTCATGACGGGGGATAGAGGAAAAGAGTTTATGATAAAAGCAGCCATTGAAGAAATTAACATCTCCTCAAATAATAGAAACATCAATAATTAACCTAGCTCTGTAGTCATTCAAACTGAACAGGTTTAGATTTGAGGAAGAGGATTTTCTTCTAATCATGTAGTTCAAGAAACCTTGTGATTTGTGAAATAAACATTCCTGGTTTTCAGTCAGAAGAATTATTATAATTCAAATGCATACCACTGATATCTGAAGGTTTTGATGGGTCTGGTATTACACACCATGATATTGCAACAAGCTATAACCTTTTTAGTTTAAATCCATTACTATATGTGTCTGAAATCATACAGTACGTGAATGGTGCTCCCCTGTATTGATCCTCATGCTGTGAGCATCTATACATTAGAGCACTAAGTGAAAGTGCTGCAGGTCTGTGTTCATAATTATTGCATCACAAGCTAGTGAACTGAACTAAAGCCCCTCAGTGGAGAAGATCATTTATTTATGAAGTGGCCCGTGATTTTAGAAGGTCATGGATCTTATGAGGCATTTTCGGTTTATATCATAAAACAGTTGATGTTCATTCAAACAAAGAAGCAGCTCCACATTAAAAAGCTGTTTATGATGCGATTGCAATGAACGACCTTTTGAACGTAGTGTGTTATTAGGAAATTAGTGACAGTGAGTGCCTATTTGGATAAACCACAGATCAAACCACTGCTCTGTTGTTGTTTAACCATTATTAGACACCTTCACATGTCATGTGTAAATACTCAGATCTAGGTATATGTCTGTCAATGTGCAAGTTATCAGCTACTTTTTGATTAATTAGTCCATTTTTTTAAATGAATATTGAAAATTTTAACTTCCTTTTAGTTTTTTCAGACCTGACCTCACTGCAGGAGCGCAGCACTGTGGCAGCAGACATTCCTGTCGAAGCGTGTTGAACGATGCTACGAAGAGCAATCAACTGGTAACCAAATTAACTTTGATGTTAAGTGCTGTTGATGTCACGCAGGTTTTCCAGGTGTTGGGGTATATTTATTTTATTTCCTTTTTATTTGTTAAAGAGGGACAGTGTACATTAATGAACATTTTAAAAAGATAAAATGTAAATGGACCCAATTGTAGCCACAAGGCTAGTTTCCATTGGTAGTCCCCCAAAAAGGTGGGAAATCAGCAACTACATAAAAACATACATAATACACAATATTTAAAACATCAACATTACCCACCCGAAAGCACGCCAACCAACTAATGAGAACAAATTTGGTTTTCAAGTAACCACCTCTTCAAATTTACTTTAAATGCTCTGTATGTTGCTCTTGTTGTAATGATTGGTCCTTCAGTTGGTAATTGCGTAGACCTCAGAGTTGTATGCTTAGTTACCGATGGGGCTATTGTTGGTGGTGGTAGTGGAGAACCAGTCACAATCACAATTGTGGTTGTCCAGTTGTTGGAGATGTTGCTTGTGTGGTTACAACTGGACCCTCAATTGTGATAGGAAGCTTTCCGGTTGATAGTGTTGTAGATTTTGTAGTTGTTGTTGGTTACTCTATAGTATGAGGAGGTGAAGTTGGGGGTCTTGTCGGTGGAGAGGTTGGCACTGCAGTTTTAGTTTTTTCAACTACATGCGACTACATCCTGGATCCTGGATTGAAACATTCCGCTGCTCACCCCTTCTGTTGGTGAAGGGATGGTGGCCTTCAAGACATAAGATGCATGATAAGTATGATCATCCATTTGGCAAGTTTTTACCATCAAACCGATACGTCATGAAGTTTGTTTCTTCTGGAGGCTGCAGATTCAGATCCTCTGTGGTTTCAGGACTGCAATTTTAGGACCACAATCCTAAGACCATATAGTATATTGGGTAGCCGAGGACTACATTTTATTATCAAGAGGAATGACAAGGGAAGATTTAATTACCCTATCCCTGACTGTCAAAACAAACTCTGCAGTCACATGACATTCAGGGCCAAACACTATTTTCCAACTATACTGCTTAATTACAGACTGCACCTCTGAACTGGGGTGTTTCGGTGCTTTTTAAGCTTTCAGGCTTGATGCTTTTGTTGTGTTTGACCAAATTTTAAGGTTGCAGAGTTTAAGAACAAGTAAATAAAGCCTTAATTAGGTCATTTTGTGGTTTTGATAATGTTGGGTGAGTGTTAAATCTTTGAAAATGTTTTCTTTTTTTTTACATGTCGTTCACCTTCTGGATAAATCATTTACAGTAGCCTTGATGAGAATGTCAGCTGCCTTTAAGAGAACGTACTCGTGATAGGTATTCCTTTTACTGATCAAATGAAAACTGAAGGATGCAATACTTAACTTGAAGCAGCTTTAAAATGGACACAATGAGAGAAAACACAGCAGCGTGCACACTAATTAGGATAGTTGGTGGTCTTCTGTCACCTTTGGCAAATGTATGAAATCGGCTAACGACGAGGTTATGGCAAAGGCACAGGGACACTTTGGAGGTAGACAGTGTTGGAGATGTGCAGTTGACACAGAGCACATCAGTCAGGGCCTGGCCATGTTGTTTACATGATTCACAGAACTTGCTGCTCATCACGGCTTGTGGCGCTCTGTCAGGAAGAGAGGGAAGGATTGTAACTTTGGCCCTATTGTTTAACAGCACCCAAAGACGGAGGACACAGAAATTATTCTGAAGAGCAGGAGGCACACGGTGGAAAATGACCTTTAACTGCACTTCCTTAGCTGAATCTCATCCAATTAGAGCACTGTATATTTTCCCTAATAGCAGCTGATGAGGCAGGGCGTATGAGCGAGCACGCCCGAGCGGCGTTGCTATGCAGCGAGATGGCTGCTTAGCACCAGAGGAGCGCTGGGGAATAAGTGAGCAGAGAGCTTTAATTTGATAGGGTTAGAATCCTGCAGGCTCTGGGGTCGTGGGTCACCAGGAGCTTGTCTCACACTGAATATGAAGAAATCAGAAGTAAATTGCTTACATCTGCTGCCAGTGGCTGTGAAGGCTGTGATTGGCTCCCAGAGGTGTGCACTATCTAACGCAGGCAGTGGAAGGGGGCCTTGGTGCAAAGAAGGCTTGTAATTGGAGTAATTCTGCATTAATAGATGTTAAAAATCCTCCAAGCAGCTGGTTTGAAAAGCAGTGCCTTGGTGAAATGCAGCAGGATTACGGAGGCGTTTTCCTTTTTTTTCTCTCTCTTCCTTTAAATGCCTGCTCTACATTGCAATCACAGCAGCTGGCTGTAAATGCTTTGTCTCCCTGATGAAGCCAATGATTGTTATGTCAGACAGGAGAGCAGATAAATAAGGTAAACAAAAGTGCCATGTGAAAATTACTATTCATCAGCATTGTCCACAGCGTGGAATGAGAGGAAATGGCTTGTAATATTACTGCCAATGAATAATGTTATAGCAGGTCAAAGTTTGAGACGCTCCATATTGCATCCTCCATGTTTCCATGTATAGATTTCATACCAGCTATCCGCTTTGTTTGTCTTGTGCTTATTGTGAAGAGCTATTCCATCATGCTACAAAAACACTGAACATGTTCTCCTGTTTGTGTGACTCTGTGTGGTGGTTCATGCGTCTCATCACAGCCCTACTTTGGGAGTGTGTCCAACAGAAAATGGGACAGGCTGTGAATTATCACAAATGCTCTGGCAAATGACACTTCATTGGAAGGTCTTTGTCACCAATTATGTGTCTATTAAGAAACAGTCAATCAGTCAATGTGCAAATAGCTAACCCTCCAAGGGCTCAGCTATTGACAGGAAGCTGTCAATAGTCCATCTGATATGATTTAGCTGTTGAGGAACTGTGTGCTCACCGCAGACGCTTGACAATCCAGACGCCCGTTTCTCGGACAAACTCCTATTCTCACTAGTTTATTGACCAATAATTATTTTAATGAGCCTTTTTAATGGAAATGTATTATTCACATTGGATTTGTTGAGTAGCTCACTAAACCTTTTGATTACAAGGTTCCTGGCACATCAAGTGTAGGTCGTTTCTGTGCCTAGCAAAATAAAAGTTTCCATTTCACATCAAGGGCAGCACATTTTTCTGTTATGTAACACAAATGAGCCACTTTCCTCTTTGTCTTGTGGCCTCCAGCATATTATGCAGTGTCTACATTTGACTAAACCAAAACACAAATTGGATGTCTGGCAGACTAATTTGATTTCCCCAAAAACCCTGAAACCCAAACCCTGTTAGTTACCTCAAATGATGGACACTAATACTGTTTTTTCAGCGTGCAACTCCAGCTCGGCAGACTATCCCATCCCAATCAAAACAGTTGCTTCCCAAATGTTATTACATTATGTTGCCATTTTCAGATAAATGACTGTAAAACAGCTCTGCCTCACCATTGATGTCCATGCACAAACACATTACATCCACTTGTGTACTCTGGTTTCATAGAGTCCCATTGTCTCATTTAACTAACTTATATACCCAAGATTATGTGCTACAATACCACCACTGTGAATTCAAAACTACATCTCTTAGCTATATAAAAATCAAGATGCAAATTATGCAGCAAAAGTGCGTTTTTTTCCAGTTTGGAGGGCTTTATCATGCATCTAAAGCTGTCACCAGACATGCAGAAATAAGGAGAATATAAAAACAGGTGTACCCGCCTAATATAAGTGCTGAGAGATGTTTGCTGGAGCTTTTCAGACAAACTCCCCATCAAACACTGACTGGCTTGTCAGTAAGCAAATGATAAAATAAATGACAATCCTGTGACACTGCATTTGCTTGAACCAGTCAGCTGGGTAACATAGCTTTCACTCACACGGTGACACAGCCTGACGGATAATCAAACAGCCACGGGGCACACGCTGATACCCTACTTCAGAAATACAGTTATTCCTCACCATAAAATGCATGTGATTTGGCTCAGCTGTTGCCATTAGGTAGATAAGTGCATCTTTTCAATTTCTCTCCCAAGCTCACAGGAGACTCTTTACGTTCAGGGTGGATCAGACTGGCAGAGAGTGTGCCGAGGAGCTGATAGTCCTCAGCTATCCGCCATAATTACCATGACAGGCTCACTTAAGCTTCTCCTCCATCCAACAGTAACTGACATGGAGAGATCTCAGGATCCTTGTTGTGCATAATGGTCGTACACAGCCGGAAAAAAAAGCAAAGGTTACAGCCTCTACAGTTTAGACATTGTTCTTGTAATAAAAGATGTCTGAAGAATCTATTCCATTAAGAAACTGTTGAAAGAAAGAAGACAGCGATAAGATAAATTAGTCCCAGATCTTTAAGGAGGACTTATCACACTTAAAAAACAGATGCAAAATAAACTAAAAGAGGGATTTACTTCTGAAAAATATCTTAAATCTAACCCTCTTCTTCTAGGAATTCAAACGTAAGCTTTAATTTCTTACATTTTCTTTCAAGCTTTTATTTTATAAACAGAGGATTTCAACATGTCCAGTCCTTTGATTTTTTTTTCTTCCTTTCATTTTTTGGCACATCTGAATATTTTTTTTTCTGTTTCCTTGTTTCTGATATGATTTGTGGGGGGAAGAAAATAAACAGATAATCATTAAAAAGCAAAGTAGTCCCATAAATCAGTGCTGGGTGTTCCAGCTGAGGTAGCTCAATAAGCTCTCCCTTAAACATTGGCCCATGGTAATGGGAATATCTGAGGGTCAATCGGGGTTAGGCAGTCTTCCTCAACAGGAAATGAGCTTTTGGTGGGCTGTGTTCCCAAGGTAATGAGCAATGTGTGTGTGTTTAATCTTAGCTAATATTGTTATAATAACTGGATAAATTATTAAAAACAAGCAAATGGTAACATTTTTAAGACCACCAGTGCAACTTGAGTTTGTTGCATTATTTTACAAGTTTGACACGACAGTGGAGCAGTAAAATGTTGGAGTACCTTTTCTTTTTACTGTGTTTGGGGATTGGGAATAATAACACTCTACAAACCTGGGGGTAATCTTTTTTTCAGGGGTCAAAGGCCATTGCTACACTGCTTAAACAAACGTATTTTTCACTAGTAAACTTCCACGTCATATTCCTGTTTGCATGCCTCCTCACCTGTAATTCTTTGCTCATATAGCCTTTATTTATACCCCACAATTCAGAAGTCAAATTTCCACTCTCTTCGTCTGCTGTGAACCAGCAGCAGCAAGCAGGTAGGAAATCATGTCCTAATATGCAAATGACTTCCTGAACACCCCATATTGTGGAACCACATGCATCTGGCATGATGGGGCAGTGTGGGACAAATTGTCCTCAGTCAGGGATTTTGCTACTCAGCAAAAGCTGATGTTAAAGAGCGACGCCATGTTCACAATTAGCATGAAAAAGGTGAGTGGGGTAAGGATAAAGAGTGGAATTAAGAATTAAAAAGGGGGAAAACATCCCCTGTATCAATACCACGCAGTTTTAGTGCTGAAATCACAGAACAAACGCATCAAATAAATACTTTCTTCATGTGCAGCTAATTTCACCCCGCCATTTTGATCACGTCATTCCCTCTGGAAAATTGCAATTAAGTTTGGAGAGATAAAACATGCCAACTACTCTGCATTTCAAGGCTTGATTGGCCTATCAGCTAGTCAGTGTGCCGCCATGGTTTTCATCACTGTTAATTGATCCTTTCTTTAATTAATCTGGAAAGGAAAGCCCATATCTCTATCCTGTCTGATCGTCCCCTCTGTCTGTCATAACACAATAAAGGCCCTATCCTATTGCTGCTAGCTCTGCCTTAGCCTCTCCCTCTGGCTCTCAGCCAAACTGACTATTTATGGTGCACCTATCTGAGGACGAGACAATGTATGGAGTTCAATGGCTGGGTTCATTAACAGTGCTTACCCGGGCTGCTTCTCATTGCCATGCCGTGACACCTTGCCTTGAATATATGAATGTGAAGGTTGTCAGTAGGCTGAGTGTTTTTCTAACTACCCACTGGTCTAAATGTTGTTCCTTTAGATCCTTGTCCAACCCCCCACCCCTCACCATCTTCAACACTGCAGCATTTCTCCTCTGATTCAATGACACCTCTGCTTTTTAATGCTCTCTCCCTCGTCATGTATGTTAGCATACATAATAATGGCAAAGACTGCTTTCACATCAAGTGAAAAGATGAAGGTTTTTGCTTTTTGTGTAACTTTGTAGTTTTATTCTTCTGTAATTCCTCTGAAATTGTTAAAAGTTCAACTCATTTAAAAACAGTCAAACCAGGCGAAAAAGACAAAAAAAAAGTCTTCAAGTTGGGGTACATTTGAGAGCAAGTATTTCTGGCTTTTTACAAATAAAAAGGTTTCTAAAGGTCTTTGTCTGATGGGTGTGGTTTTCATCCTAGCGGATACCTCAAGACTTTTTCAAAAAATACTTTCTTTGTCCGTGTTAGAAAAGTCTGTGCCCTCTCTTTTGTGTATTTTAACAGTTGGCCTGTGATTCTGACAGCTCTACCTGCTGTAATGGTTGCCTCTAGGAGGTGTGAAACAAGGTCTTAACACTTTGGCTTTTCAGTATGAATGTGTGCTTCTGTCTGTGCTCACAGTTAAAGTTACAATTGGACCATAAAGCGTTTTTCCCCAGCAGACTGTAAAGAAATGGATGGGAGGCAGCTGAGAAATGAACATGTGAGTATCTGTTTCTGTCTAATTAAATCCGCAGAACAGCCTCAAGCCTTCCTCTGCCAAGACTGGATTCAGACAAACTTGCAGAGCCTGTGGTCTGGCTTCTGTGGTAGCACACTGCCACCTATTGTTTAAAGTCCTCATCTGTGCTCTGAAACCTTTGTCTGTTCCTCAGCTGATTGCTGAAAAGACAAGTTAGCTGCTAACAGATAACTGATGATAGTGACATCAGTCATGTGCCGGGATAAAACACTCTTTTAAGATCACATAGCTCTTTTGAAGGCTTCTTTATTACTATTTGTACAACACATAGGCTACCTCTAATGGCACAAATCATCTGAGCAGGAGAGTAATGTAACCCCCAGCTCTTATGTGTTATCATTGTGAAATGTGTTTTCTTACTGTGGGATTCTGCACAGGCCCATTTGTTGTTGTTGCTCTTGAGAACAAAGCAAAAAGAAGAAGTGGCAGCTGGAGGAGCAATTTTTGTCCATCAAGGGCTATTGAGAGTTCAATTATTTATCTTGTGAAGTGTTCCAAGGATGTGGTCAGCTCATCAGGGTTATAATGCACCGAGTGAGAGGACATGTGCACGGAGCGCATGGAGGAGGATGTTGTTGTAGTCTGAAAAAAGTCAGCTAAAGCTTGTTTCCAGATACCAGAACTCCCACGCTCCGTGCAGCTGATGAGGAAGTCTTAAGAAACGGACACTGTTTATATCTGTGCTGCTGAGGAGGACCAAACTGTGAATGTTGAAAAAAGAAAAAAACAAAACAAAACACTACACAAACTTTATCTGAGTGACTTCATTCCTCTTTTAATAATATATTTATTAAAAGTGAATAAAGGGGTACTGGAGGTCAAGCCTGCCGGCCACTCTCACACAGAAACAGACTGTTTGTCCTTTGGAGAATTTCTGTGGGAGTCTAAATGACATTATACCAACACGCCGTAAACAGTGTAAAAGTTCATGTTGCTCACCCTTTTTTTATTTATTTATTAATATCTATTTCAAGGCATGCTTTTGCAATGCAAGTAGCAAAATGACTTTTTTGAATTTAAAAAGTTAAAAGATTTATTTCTTTGATTTTGGTGAAAAGTTTCATCACCCAGCTGGCACAAATGACTTTGTAGACTAGGCTGTGGTGAAACGAACGAATGATGGAAATGTTTTCAGGTTTTTACTTTTTTAACTCAAAAGTTTTTTTTTTTCTTTTTTTACAGTTAGACAACTGATTTATGAGCCTCTTCCCCTTGATCAATATTCCTTTCTTTAAACATAGGATAGAAAAGAAAAAGCTGTCTGCAGCATATTGCAGTTTTCATTTTTTAATTAATAATTTAAAGGTGCAAAATAAAATGTATATTCTACACAGTAAAAATGTGTAACTGCTACAGAGCTAATCCTAAAGGGGTTCACTTGGCAGGAGTGTATTATAGAATTATTTGGACCTGTTGACAAAGGACTGACAACCCCATAGACTCAAAATGCTCAGATTTCTGATTTTGTTTCTAGTTTGAATAAAAGTTGAAAATTTTATAGTGATTTCATGTCCAAGAGGAAACTTCCCTTTTCTTTCTTTTACACTGAACACCATCATAGTATTTCAAACCAGCAGAGGTTGAAATCTTTTATAAGACTTGATCTCACAAGCAGAATCAAAGTAAATATATTCTATCCAGGTTAGGACTCAATGAAAAACATCAAGCCAACAATGAGAAGAGTGGCAGAAGAAAAGCTGTGCTTATCACTATTCATCATCTTCACTTAAAGCCAAGGAACCTTCAGCCATTTTTTTTCCAGCACAGCTACATAACAACAGTTAATGGAGAGAGGCTGGCAGGAGAAAACCGGATATGCATTATGTCCATAAAGAACGTCAAATTCAGCCTGACATCATTCTTTGTTTTGATCAGTCTTGTTGTGAAGCACATCCATAATTGGAAAGGTTGCATCCACAATAATGTGTATCATGATTTAAGTGTTTTTTTCTGTGTAGTGGGGCAGGTTCAGGGAAGCATATTTGTGGTGAGAATGATGCCTTTACACCTACATAGAGATCTGTGGCTTTACCAGTGTATTAAACGACAAAACGTTCCAGTGTTCAGCGTCCAGACTCGTCACTGCTCCAGACCTTTAGACTCTGCATTGTAAAGAATGACAAAAGCAAAGTTGAGCTGCTCAGCCTAACCCCTCGCTCCATGTGCCACCAAGACACGTCTTTTTCCAACTTTTCCAACTTTACAAAGTGTTTAAATCTGCTGTTTCCCAAAGGCATCCATGAAGAAGCGAAGTGGAAGTGAGATCCAGAGAAATTCAACTGCAGTGAGAACAGCACCCGAGGAAAAATCCATCACTGGTTTATCCCCTAAAAAACGGATCACTTTCAGAATTCCTGCTAATGTCCATCCATTTCTCCCAGTCAAATGGACTCTGGAGAAGTGACTGATTTTACACTGAACTCAATAATCCACAGCCTGTGCAGCTTAAGTCATGGAGCTTCACTGTGCGTATGTTAACACCATTAAATCACCTCAAATGCCTACATGATTCAATCTTTTTCACAGTGGACGACAAGTGAATTGAATTTCCCCAAAGTGGCTGTCCATTTCCTGTCTGCGTGTGACGAGTGGCTGTACGGTTGCCGGGGAATTCAGACCCACTCTCCCCTTCACTTAACTCCCATATCACATTTAGCGCAGAGAAAGGGGCTGCTCATTTTTCAAAACTAAAAATTAAAAAAAAATGTTCCACGAGAACCCGAGGAAAAACGAGAGATTCAAACATCCTCCTTTCTGATTTAGGAAGTTCTCCACTAGTCTTTAAAACATTAATGTATCTTTAAAAGTGTGCAAATCTTTTTTAGGAGTACAGTAATTCCTCTTCTGTGAAAGGATAGTTTTTCTTTGCCTCCACAGTCGACCATATTCAGTGCCTAAATTTTGGCACAGCAGCCAGATGAGGCCCTGGCCTTGTACGAGCCTGTCAGTGGTACTCTATAGCACAGCGGCTCTTAGTGGCCGTGACTCCATGACCTGCTTTCCCGCTCCGCTGTGAATAGCTGCTGGCACCTCTCTCCAGCCTGTCTGCTAGATGAGACGCAACTCTGAAGAGATAGTGTTGAAATAAAAAATACTTCTCCTCCTTGATTATGTTATTATACTGTAAGAATTAATCATGGGTCGGCACAGTTCGATAATGCCTCTCAGTTTAGATGAAATAATAACAGAAACAAGTCTTTTTCTGTGTTTTTCATACGACTTTGGATTCTTGTGCTGCTCCTCATACAAACGCCCAGCACAGACACTTAAACACTGACTGACCTTTGGTGGTTAGCACTGGGAATAAAAGTACAAACACCCTTCAAAACTAAGCAGCGCTGTTTTCATTTGGTGTACTTGTACTCTCCTGAAGTGTGAGCTCCATAATCAACTGTAAGATGAAATGTCCCACCACGAGTGCAGCTGCAGATGCATCGAGACTCGTGCTGCTCAGGTAGGCGGCGGGGAACGCTGATTCCCCCTGACAGACTGCGCCTGTTTGCTACCTGCTTAATCTGGAGCATTTTAAAACTGTGTTTGGAGTAAACGGGCTGAAGGGAATAGAGCACCTAAGAGCTGGAGAAATGGAGGCTTGATTGGCAGGCCTTGTCAGTAAGTCTCTTCCAGTAAGAGGCACCTGCCACGGCCCTGGTGGGATCCCCCTCCAAAGTGAAACGCAAAGGCATAGTCTTAATTATCCCCCTTCCCACCCACCCCCATCCCCCTACCACATCTCAACAAGGAGAAGGAAAAAAAAAAACACAATTAACGGTAAGCGTTTAGGGGAGAGAGATTATTTACTGGGGCCCATCCAGTGGAGACAGACGCTCAGCAGTCCTAAGAGACAAGCATGTCCATCAGCTCGGGGAAGCTGAGCAATCCAATTAAAGCAGAGATCTTTCAGGCGGTCAGTGCTAACCGGTGGTGTTCATCATCTGACAGTGACATGGTTTGCGTAATTTTTGTTTGGATCTACTGATCTTCCTTTTCAAGGGGAAAACCCTAGATTTTAAGAGCAAACAGTAGAGACAAATAGTTATCAATTCAATTATTTCACACATGAAGCATGAAAAACTGATCGCCATGTAGGTATCACGAGTTGTTCGCCATCTACATGAGTTGTCCGATCATGCGAGATGAACAAATAGGTTCTTATCCAGACAACAAGAAGTGCGCCAAGATGTTACAGAAGTAAGATTCCAGCGCTCTCTGTGGTATGTAGACTTCACTTCGGACCCTCCAGGCTGGGACAAAAAAAGATTGCTGCAATTCAAAGAGCAGAACTTTACTTTGAGAGAGGCAGGCCTAATGAGAGTCTGAGCCCGAGGTCCGCAGGTCAGCGAGCAGGTGGGAATGAGATGAAGCAAAGCGGAGGGGGAAAAAAACAGGATGGCAGAGTGGGGACGTCACATCTGGGCTGAATTAGGAAAGTAATACAGCAAGCCCAGAGAAGTGTTTGAGGATCTGGGAGGCAGATCTCCTTTCCTCAGAAACAGCAGGTTAGTGTGTCAGCGGGGAGTCCAGATGAGAATGATTAGAGGTGGCCTTTGAGGAGCAGGTGCCTCCTCTACCTCTGCTGCTTAGCCCTGAATGGACCGTCATTAATCAAACATTGTCATAAGGTATTTAAGCAGAGGGTACTTTATGAGCATGTCAAATTCCACCTTGTGTGTGGTTTGTTTCAAACGTATGAATTTTCTGCATGTGGACCATCACGGAGCAGCGCTGCGAAAAAGCCTTGAAGTTGAATCTGGAAGAAAAAAGTAAAGGGGCCTCTTTATAATTGTTGGAGCATTACCTCACTTAACATTACATCATGGCTGAATCTGTGGACACACTATTTGACAATGTAAAGTCATGTGGCCAGCAGATTTAACTTTGCCTGACCAGTTGTTGCCAGCTATTAAAAAAGAGAAACATCCGCTGACAAAATCCTATAAGAAGCCAAGAGTAACAAGAGTGTGTGCTTATAATCTCATAATTTCCCCCATGGCTCTATCATCCTCACTGTCTCTCTCCTCTCCTCCAGCCCGCCTGCTCTGCATAGTAGGGACGGACATGTTTGAGCATCGATTGAGCGCTACATTAAGTAATCTAGTAATCATTTACACCAACTGTTTTTTGGGGGAAACAGAAGCATATTAAACAGGCATTAATGTCACTACGAGGAGAACGGAGCACTCTGGGTGCGATGTGTGAGCTGCCTGACTCGGACGGCCCACGTTAAGGGTTTCTGCTCTCAGTTACCTCCTCGAGCTGCACAATGAAGTGGAAGATCTCCTTTTTCACGCCACCATTTCTACCCCATTTCTTTGCATTGTTATCCCTCGCTCCCAAAAAAGGAAAACAATCCAGTCAGTCATGAGGCTCTTCCCCAAAAGAGAGAGGGAGCATGCATCTGCTCGCAGGCGAGTGGGCAGAGCAGCTGTGGACACAGACCACTGCATGAGAACTACAGAGTAGGTGTTTGTCAACATAAAAGCCTCTTGACAGACACAGAGACTCTTTCAAAATAAATTTAGATCTGTATTCAAGCACTGCTTTGTTATTCATTCCTCCACATGATTGCATGCATTTTCACTACATTCAGCTCCTCTGAAGCATTGTGATAGTGATACAAGTAGTGATGTAGGGGGCTACATTATGAAGCTTTTGACTACTTTTCTATAAAATATCTTTGTTCTTCTTTTCCAAAAGGATGTTTAAACACACCTTTCTGTGTTGTGCCTGAATCCTGGAGAGCTTTAATAAAAACTGTATGGTCTGTAGCCGTGAGCTATCTTAAACCTTAAACCTTGGACAAAGACAGGGAGATGGAGAAGAAATCTGAGCCAGGGGCAGTCTAGTTTGAACAGATTTATAGACTTGCCTCAAGTGCACGGTGCAGAATTTTGGGGTGCAAAAAGTGAAACTGTTTCTTTTTTTTTTTCTCTTTTCTGAGCTGACAGTGGTGTTTGCATGAGAGAAAATGTCAGGGTTGGTGAAATGTTTGAAAAACAGGCAATTTAACAGTCATTTGCAGGAAGAAAGAGTAAAATCTGAAGGGAAAGAAGATTGAAATTTCTAATGGTTAAGAAAAATAACGTCAAAACCATAAAAATAAAAAGTGTTACTAAAAATAATTATTGCTCCTAAAACTTTGGTAAGTTTCAAAATAATTCAGCTTTGTGTCAGCTCTGAGCAAAGATGCTATTTTTCTTTGGTAATCTGTTTTTAAAAGAAATGCTCATAACTTTTAGAAAACACATTTCTCCAGTTTCTAAACTTGGGCCCGAGTGATGTGCATTCTCCTCCTCTTGGTGTAGGTTTAAGACAGGGGTGTGGGTGGCTGGGAATCAGTAATGATTTACAAATAATAAGTAGAGGAATGAACAAATCAATAAATCAGTAGATCTCTGGATATTTGCGAGGCAACCTTATTTCTTTATTTATCTGCCTGTTTTATTTGTTTTCAGCTCTCCAAGGCAGGAGCAGGAATCCCAAATTATCCAGGGGGTTAGGGGGCGCAGTGCCCCTGAGCCCCGAGCCCCATAGCGGAGGTAACGTATTCAATGGCCTGGGGCGAGTGGAGGAGAGGAGCGGCCCTGCTGCATACTGATGGCAGGGAGAGGAGCCAGTAATTGGAGCTGCAGAGGAGAGGGGAGAGGAGGGCAAGCACTGGGAGATGATGGCTTTGTTTTCTCTCTCTCTTCCTGTCTGTGCCGCTCAAACTCCTCCCCCCTCCCAGACCCCTCTCTCTCTCTCTCCCTCACACTCTCTGAGTAGAGATATGGAGAAATTGAATAGAGATACTTGCTAATTGGTCTCTTGCTGCTTGCTTAAAGGACCATAGACATTCTTTTTAATTTGCCTATTGAAACTAATAAACTATGTCCGTCTGTGTTTGTGTGGTGTGTTCATGTGTGTGTGTGCTTGCTGCTTAGTGTGAGAGTGTAGTAAATCAAGGATTACATGACACACTGTGTACTTCTAATGGAGAAAAGAGGAAGGTGTGAAGGACTGCTATTACAGTGGGTTGTTGTTATGAAGACTGAAAGAGAAGCTGCTCGCTGAAATGAGCATGTCCTTTAAAAAAAAGAAAAAAAAAACTTTCAGAGTATTAATAATACAATATCAAAGCCAGACTGGATCATTTGCTGCCTTATTTCTCCCTCTTTGTGTAAAACATATGCTTTACGTCCATGAAAGCTAATTTAAACCCAGCACCGGCTGATATGATGTAAATTGGTAAATACTATTTTAATCAGAACACATCGCAGCTAATTAAGAAAATTACTCTGACAAACGGTTTGAAGCTGGTGGAAAAGCCCAAGCCAACATTGCAATCAGGCTCATTCCTTATGGTGCTGCTCCCTCATGTGGGTGAGGAACACTGGGAAGACGATGCATACATTACAGAGCATCACCATTAAAGTCAGACAGGAGAAGAAAGTGGCGTAAAAGTGAATCCCTAGCCTTAATACTTCCAAAACTACCGCATTATCCACATGGCGTCCTCTGTTGACACAGTTAAACGGTTTGAAATAAGCTGGCAAGTGGCCTGAAAGGAAGAAGGAGGTTGTTGTGGCACGTTCAAGTCTGCTGTTGGCCAGTCTGCCCTGAACAGGTTGAAGCCCGCAGGTCACCAGAAGGACATAAGCACAAG